TAGGATATGTGTTTTATTGGCACTCCCTGACCACCTTCCTAAGCATATGAAGTATGATCACTGCTTGCACACCCTTATCTAAATCTCTACACGTGCCATTTCTAAACCTAGTTCCACTAATCAGTTTTTGTTTCCTTGTACGCCTTGCCTTGTTGGATTCCAGACACTGGATTTTATATTATTGGGTACTAGAGACTTTTGTCTTCCTTAACTAATTGAAGGCTTTGTTTTAAAACGTTGCTTAGAATCCATTCCTTTCTTTCAAAGTTTTTTCTTTAAGGTTTGTTTAGTGGGTCTAGACAGCCACTAGTAAAGGCCTAATTTGGCCCTAACTGCCCTAACAGCTTAGGGACTGACCAGGAATGCCAGGGAATGAAGAAATAATAGACATATATACAGAAAAGATGGGATTGGGTGGGCTGTGGACTGATTGGAGACTACCCATAACTAGGGAACTCAAGAGCATTAGCTGAACCAGAGATCTACTCTCAGTAGTAGATCTGTCTTAGGTTGCAGTTGTCTGGGAAGAGGAAGCTGTGCTGGACAGTTTCTGAACACTGGTTTTAGATGACCGTTAACCATTAGTAACACCTGTACTTGGACCAGAAAGCAGCTTTTCCATTCCTCCTATCCTGACCAGGGGAAGACTTTGCCATCCCCATGGGTCTGAGGCACTGGGGTCCTTGTCTTGTCAATAATACACAGTCAGTGGGGACTTTACTCTCCACATGGACACTAAGATAAGCAATGTCCTCCTGAGCTGCCTATCTGATGGTTTGTGTGGTGGCCTTTCTACTCTCACTAGCAGGAACTAAACTGCATGCAGCCTTCTGTCGGGGCAGGGTTGTTCTGCTGCTCTTTCCCCAGGGTTCTGGGCCCTGTGCACAGCAGAGTCAACACTCGGTAGATGACCAAGAGACCCATCAATCTCCAAAGTTCTTCATGCAAGTGTCCTCCTACCAGCACATCACTTTTTGACTTCTCAACTAAAGAAGACTGCTAGCTCCTGCCTGGGTTCTCCTCTCTGGGTAGCATGGAAATGTTCTTCCCTTCAGGCAAGGGTCACTGTTCTTTCATCTTGCCCCATGTCAGAGACCATCATTTCATGTATTTCATCTGTTTTCTTTTAGTTATTTAAGGCAGTATAAGCCTGGTTCTTGTTATTCCTATCTTGAAAGTGGAAAAAAAGTTCTTAATGCCACTATAAAATGTGAACTAATCTTGAGGAATCAGAATAAAACTTCCCAATCTTGAAATTGTCAAAGACCCACAAATGAAAACAGACCCCTTTTTAAGTAAGCTCTTCCTTCATCAACGGTACTACTCAACAGAAATAGTAGACACGTTGACATTTTCTAGATAACATTTAAAAGTGGCTTGTAATCCATTATGCAGGGTGTGAGGCAGGAGGATCTTAAGTTCAAATTCAGCCTGGGCTACACAGTGAGTTGAAAGCCATCCTGGGAAACTTAGTGAGACCATCTCAAGGTAACAATTAAAAAGCAAGCTGAAGAAACAGCTGAGTGGTAGAGATCTTGCTACAATGCAGACAGCCCTACATTAACCCCCAGTGAGCTGGTGGGAGAGGATTTACATGCTTCTGAGTTTACCAAACATTTTAAAAGCGATTCACCAAACCTACTTCAAAAGTCAATTTAATATCTTAAAAGTTACAAAGATCATTTCAGGCCAGTTGTGATGGTGCACAACTTTAATCCCAGCAGAGGTAAGCGGATTCTATGCGGTCAAGGCTAGCCTGGTCTACAGAGGTCATGGCCAACAACAAAAAATAAACAGTGAGACACTGTCTCAAAAAAAAGAAAATCATTGTTTCCATAACCATTTTGGTATTTTCAGATACAATACTGAAACAAATTACTTTTCCCTACTTCTGTGCTTTGGCAACAAAGAAAACCAAAAAATGGTGTGACTGCAGCAAATTCTGTAGAGAGAATCAGAAGGGAAAAGTAATGAAACAAAAACTGGCCTGAGCAAGCTGGTCGGCTGTTTTCTTACGGGCCCCATTTTGTATTGCTAAGACCAGATAATGAGTAGCGCTTTTCTTTGTAACAATTCATTAATCAGAGAAATGATTCTTGCTAGTGTTTAGATGTTTTACTTAATTTGGTACCTCTGGCCTGCTGCCCCACTTGTGCCAAAATTATTATTTCTCACCCAGCAGGTGATAAATAACAACTTCACTCGTGATTAATACCATGAATCCTTCAACTCGACTAACACAAGGAGGAAAAAAAAAAAAAAAAAAAAAAAACAACTTGAGACCTACAGAACAAGTGGGTGATAATTGTGAGGACTATGGAAGCAGGCTCACTTGCGAGGGGACGTCCACAGGAAATGAGGCGTTTGCCAACAGTCCAGCTGATCCTTTGAGGCTTCATTAAGCCCATCTCAGTGAATTCGCCTTTGCAGTCCCAGTGCTGGGCTTTTTACTTCTAGCACTAAGTTCTAAGAGCAAAGGAACCACCAACTCAATTCTGTCTACATTTAAATATATGTTAAATGGGTGACTGACCAAACAATAAATGAGAAAATGGAATTCCTAGCCAGTATTGGACACTGTGACACAGGTCATACGGGAGGTACACACATTCTCTACAACACTGCAATCATGCACACATGTAGTTTTGCTCAAACCCACAGCAAAGTTAACATTTGCTGCTGGCCAAAAGGAAGGCTGTTTGCAAATGGCCAGTAACTAAAGCCACATGATGCCATCAACTTTATTTAAGCACCACTGGTCCTTACCTAGGCAGAGAGTAAGGAGGCTGCACTGAAGAGAATACTCCCTTGCCTCCTCAACAACTCCTTACATAGTACATAGATGGAACTTCACTCACTAACCCTGGAGTGACCTTGAACTGACAGAGATCTGTCTGCCTCTGCTTCCTGAATGTTATCATTAAAAGCAGGAACTAAGGGCCCTGGTACTTCACAGTTTAAGTCCCAAGTCAAGTCAGTAGGTTCACTGAATGTGGCATACAAATATATTTGGTAGACAAATAGTTTTATTTTTTTTATTTTAATACCTTCACATAGATGAATTCTACATGGCATAGCTCCATTACTAACACCTGTCTACTTCTCCTCATCAAGGTCTATCTTTTTGATTGAGTTTGTGAGTACAGGCTAAACAGAGACGTGGAGGGGTAAGAAGAAAGCATGAAATAACTTGGATAGAGGTCTATGACCACAAGAAGACATTCTCAAGAATCACAGATTAAGTATTGACATCTTCAACTAAAAACTTTCCTCTCTTCTTACCTAAAGCAGTATGTGGTATAGCATCAAATCACTTGAAAACCATGCAGTGGTATAAGGGGCAAGGAAGCAGAACAGGGGACTGAAACCCAGGTGGCTATCGGGTTTAACCAGAATCTGAAGTGAAAAATTAAACCATCGAAAACAAGAATCACCTTTCTCACTAGCCACGCATGGAACATAAGCACAACAAAAAGCAAACCTCAGTCTAGAGCTGATTTACCACAGACTCTTCTTATACTAGGAAGAAACAGAAGTCCTAGACAAATAACCAAATGTAAACAGGTATTCAAAAGTCCAAGAACTCAGGAGATCTCAAGTTCAAGGCCAGCCTGGACTACCTCCCAAAGCTAGTGAGCTTTAAAGAAATACCTCTATATCCTATAATGGGGAGGAAAGGAGAAGGGAGGGCAGAGATGGGAAGGAGAGGGAAGAGAAGGGGAGGGGAAGAAGAGAATCATCAACTTTATTTAAATAAACTTTATTGGGCTCTAATTTACATACAATACAGTTTGATAAACTTGCATGCCTTATAAACATTGGAATCACAGTAAGGCACTGTTTGCTCCTTTCTTCCTTTTAAAGAAGCACTCCATGGGATAGAAACATGAAACGTAATTACCCTTTAAAAGTGTTAGCCTAAAGCCTGGCAGTTAGCTGTACACACCTTTAATAGAAGCACTCAGGAGGCACAAGTAGGCAAATCTGAGTTTAGGACCTACTTGGTCAACAGAGTGAGTTCCAGGACAGCCAGGGCTGCACAGAGACCCTGTCCGGAAGGGGAGAAAAAGTGTTACCTTGGAGATGAAATACAAATGAAAGTAAGAAAGTTTATGTCAACATAGAGGGGAGAAGGGCCCATCCCAATACCCCACGGCTCATCAAGAAGCCAAGGGCAATCAATGACCGCTGAGAAAGGGGAGTTACTTTTCTTTGGGAAGGGGGAAGCCATTGGTAGGTTATCCCACAACCCACACTGGATGACCTCACAAACATGAGTAATTTGACTAAGGTTATAAAACCTTTCTATTATTTTAAAGACAGGAAGCTGAGGAGGAGATGGAATATATGTAGGGAAAGGCACAGGAGGTCCTGGAGGGAGGAATGGATATGATTAAATTATTTGTATACATGTATGAAAATTTTAAAAAATTGTTTGAGACTCCATTTCCTGTGTTTTAAACTGGAGATAATTATCATTACATGTTCTGTAAAGATTAAGTGACTTAGAAATGTTTGGTGAATGATAAGAAGGCAGCATCACTCTCAACATGGTAATAGCAGAATTACATCTGATTCTTTACAGCATCACTATTATGGTGGGAGAGAGATATATTAGATTTGTATATGGATTCCTATCACTACTCCTATGAAAACTACCTTCCCTTCACCCCCTACCCCAAAAAAGGAATTAAAAAATATCAAGATGCTCTCATCTCCATAAAATAGAATTTTCAACCCATACCTGCTTTAATGAAACACTGTTTAATTCAACTCAATTTAGATATGAAGAATGGTCAATGTGTGCCTCACTGGATGATCTCCAGTCACCCCACTTTCTCAGTACATTTTTAAAGAATTCTTTCCCATGGTCAGTTTCACCGTGTATTCAATGTCTCAGTACATACATCAGTTACTTCTCTTAGAGAAATGTTTATTCCATGGGTACTAAATTCAGTGAGTAGCCAAAAAGACCAAGAAAGTAAATGAAACAACCATAATTGCTTAACATTTATTTTTATATGCTCATAAAGAAACAAAATATCAAGATATAGAATACAATGTAACAAATCAAACAATTCAAAAATGAAGGTGGACACAAATAACAGTACAAAGAACATGTATATGATATTATGCAATTTTCTGAGGTTTCAAAAAAGTGTTTTTGGTTTTGAAATTCTGAAATTAATATCTATTATAATGTTCAGGTAATACATATTTCAAAAGTTAGATTTTTTTTTAAATAATAACTAATTGACATACAATTCTAAGACAACCTGCCTTTACCCCGATCTTCAAAATAGTGCTGTTCAATTCTTCTACAGAAAGCAAGGAGGTTACTATAGTTTTTCACCTTCTCAGAAAGTTCATCACTGGTCAACTGTGTGGTAAGAATGGTGTACAAATGGCCAAACACCAGAGCATCAAGTTCAGTGGGTCTAAAAAAAAAAAATAAAGATGAGAAAAGCTGAAAGGTACTTCATTTTTATGTTAGAAAGCATTCTTTTTCAAAGAATATCTTATTGATCAATTTAAAAGGAAAAAGTCACAAAAATAAATCCAACTTAATAGAACTTTTTCATTCTAAATTTGCCATAGAGCATCCATTATTTATTTATTTGTGTGTTTTTATTTCATGTGCATTGATGCCTGTATGTATGTCTGTTTGAGGGTGTCTGATCTTCTAGAAGTGGATTTACAGACAGTTGTGAGCTGCCATATGGGTATTGTGAATTGAACCCAGGTTCTCTGATAGAGTAGACATCTGAGTCATCTCTAGCCCTGCATTTAATATTTTAAATAAATACAGTGCGTTTCCAGACTGGCAGAAACAGATTAAAAAATATTCTAATATATAGAAAGCACACACACAAGTTCTCCACGTGCCCATTACAAGAGTCAATAAAAAGGTGATTGATTGTATGCCTTATACCACACTAACACTACACTTACTGAACAGTTTTCTCTAGCAGGGTCTCTAAGTTTTAAAGGTAGCAAACACTGCCTGAATCTTTATAGCCCCAGACCTTAGTACAGTATCTGTAGTCTCCATGATTTGCTGGATAGATGAAGGAAAGAAAAACAACTACGCTGCAGAATGTGGGATTTTTCTCTAACAGTGATTATTCACATCACTTTGCAGTCTTCCCTGTTTTGATGCAATGATGGAGTATTATATAAAGTAAGATGTACAACTTGGCACAGGCCTCTAACTGCAGTACTCAGGCTTAGTCAGTAATATTGTAAATTCAAGGTGATCTTGTGCTATACACAAATTCCTGTCTAAAAATAAGATAAAATGAAAATGTGCTATCTGTGGTCATGTTTAAGAAGGCAGTCTAAAGGGTAGCATTTTTTCATTTTTTTTGTTTTAAATAACAAGAGTCATTGGATTTAACAGCACCATAATTTTTTCATTACACATGAAGAATCAATAGCAAGCAAATCCTTACAAAGAACCAAGGACATAAAGTGGATAAATACAGAGTTAAGTAAGGTATTTTGCTACAAGTAACATAAATATGAACTTTCTTATTATATCCCTAACATTTCTTAAAAAGAGGTATCTATCTTGCAAGTGGGGTCTTATTTTCTTAATACAGGTTATGTCAATCATCCTTCACTTCTTCTATGGCTGGGCACTCTTTATCAATAAATGAAAGCTCTGAATGAGGTCAACAATGAATCTGTGCTTGTCAGAAGTACCCTGAAGTGATCAAAATGTCATGTACTAAAACTCCAAAGGCACTGAATACCTATGTGGTACAAGCATACAAAAAGTTGCTTTCTAAAATCCATGAGGAAGTAGGCTATAATAGCTGAATGAAACAAAGCACATATATTATCAAAACACATTTTCCCTTACTTTTTTAAAATTTAAATTAGAAACAACCTTGTTTTACACATCAACCCCAGTTCCCTCTCCCTCCCCCCCCAACCCCCCTCCAACCCCCCCCCACTCCACTTCCCATCCACTCCCCAGGGAGAGTGAGGTCTTCCACGGGGGATCATCAAAGTCTGACACATCATTTGGGGCATGGCCTAGGCCCTCCCCTATGTATTTAGGCTGAGAGAGTATCCCTCCATGGGGAATGGGCTCCCAAAGTCCATTCCTGCACTAGGAATAAATACTGGTTCTACTTCAAGAGGCCCCATAGACTGCCCAGACCTCCTAACTGTCACCCAAGTTCAGGGGGCCTGGTTTAGTCCTATGCTGGTTCTCCAGCTGTCTGGCTGGGGTTCCATGAGCTCCCATTTGCTCAGGTCATCTGTTTCTATGCGTTTCCCCAGCACTGCTCATCACTCCTCCCTCTGTACAAATGGATTTCAGGAGTTCGGCTCAGTGGTTAGCTGTGGGTGTCTGCTTCAGCTTCGATCAGCTACTGGATGAAGGCTCTAGGATGGCTTTAAAGTAGTCATCAATCTCATTATTGGGGAAGGGCATTTAAGGTAGCCTCTCCACTATTGCTTAGATTCTTAGTTGAGGTCATCCTTGTGGATCTCTGTACAATTCCCTAGTGCCAGATTTCTCTTTAAACCTATAAAAGCTCCCTCTATTAAGGTATCTCTTTTCTTGCTCTCCTCTATTCATCCCCTGACTCAATGTTCCTGATCACTCATGTTGTCCTCTTCCCTCCTCTTCTCCCCACCTAAGTGAGGCAACCTAATCACAAAAAGACAAACATGGTATGTACTCACTCATATATAGATTTTAGACACAGAACAAAGGATTACCAGCCTACAATCCACATGGAAGAGAAGCTAAGAAACAAGAAGGACCCTAAGAGAGACATACATGGTCCCCCGGAGAAGGGGAAAGGGACAAGATCTCTGACAAATTGGAAGCACAGGGGGAGGGGAGAGGGAGGTAGGACAAAAACACATTTCTTATAGTCCTTAAAATTTAAGACAATGTCTCCTTATGTGGTCCTGGCTGGCCTAGAACTTTCTATATAAACCAGCCCAACCTCAAACTCACAAATTCACCTGCTTCTGCCTCAAAAGTTCTGGTATTAAAGGTATTCACTATCACCTGCAATCCTTACAAATTTCAGTGACTCATGTTAACTGATTCTGAGTTTTACAAATTATCAATTCCCACAATTCCTCTTTTTAAAACAGTACTTGTGAGACTGGAAAGATGGCTCAGCTGGGTAAAGCACTTACTGCCCAGCCTGGTGACCTGAGTGCTATCCCAGGAACTCACATGGTGAAAGGAGAAAACCAGCTTCTCCAAGCTGTCCTCTGACCTCCACACTTGCACTATGGCAAGCCCCAGCAACACATACATAAGCAATTTAAGTTTTTAAACTAAAGTAAACTTGTGGTTATACAACAAGACATATTTCTTAAAACTTAAAACCATAGTCATAAAAGTGGCAATTTTATAAAATATGAATTATGCAAAAAAAGAAAGAAAAAGAAAAAAGAAGCAACCAATTCAAAAAAACCTACAACTCGTATGAAACACAAGGACAAAACAACAACCACAAAAATCTACCAGCTAGCGACATGGTTTAGCAGGTAAAAAAAGGCACTGGCTGCCTGATAACCCAAATTCAATCCCTGCATGATCCCTGCACACACACACAAAATAAATGCAAAATAAACTGCAAAACTTTCCTTTACTCAAAATTTCTACAATACTTTGAATAACACAAAGACCATCATCATAAATTTCTTTGTTATGCTATGAAGAAAAAAATATTACTTTCCACTCTTCTGCTTAAAAGTGACTTTGTGGATTATGATATGGGTGTGCATGTGTGTGTGCCAATTCTGTACCTTTGAATTGTAAGATGTTTCAAATGTATTTGCAGCCATTTTTTGCAGACTTTTTACTATGCAAATATTCTAGGATGATAAGTTATTAATATCTTACTGTTACCTTATGTCATCATCATGTCTGCTGGATATGTATTCTTTCATTTGAATATCAAAATGCAAACAGTATTATAAAATGAGAACTTCTTAAGCTTTTCCATTTAAAAGTTTCCTTCTATACACTCTTTTCATCTTATTTATTCATTATTATTATTTTTTTAATCTGGTTCCCCACCTCTTACCCCCCAAGACAGGGTTTCTCTGTTTAACAGTCCTGGCTATCCTGGAACTTGCTTTGTGGATCAAGATGGTCTTGAACTCACAGCGCTCTCCCTGCCTCTTTAATGACATGTACCACCACATCCAACTATCTAATATTCTTTATAGTATCTAATTCCAAAACTACTAATTTGGTCTAGGTGTCTCCTAATTTTTCTTTTCTAATATTATTTACCTTGCCATCTCCTCACATTACTAGGAAGAGTATAACACACACACACACACACACACATATAAAATAGTGAGCTTTGATATTGTTACTAAAGCATGAAAAAGCAAAGCCCTTTCTGTCTTCTTTCTCAATTACTGTTCTTGTCACAAGATCTCCCTTAATTTCTTTTTCCTCTTTCTTCATTTTATTTATTTGTTTGTGATTTTTGGTTTTCAAGACAGGATTTCTCTGTCTAACAACCCTAGCTGTCCTGGAACTAGATCAGTAGACAGGCTGGCCTTAAACTCATCCTTTCTTTTTTAAAAACAAACAAAAATCATTTAGTTTCTTTTAAAAGTCTTGTCTCAGTATCTCCACTAGTTCAGCAACAACCAAAGTTGGTTTTAATTTTAGGAAATAAAAGTAGGATATAAAAAAAAGAGAATCTGTCAATGCTCAGGTACGTGAGAGCCAAAGGTAGAATTCAAGGATTCTGAATTAGAATCTAATCTGTGTATTTTAAGCCAGTTCCTTACTATCTAAGATACCATGACTCCTGCCACAGATTAAAAAAAAAATGAAAAAAGTTTTCCCATACCAAAATGAAATTACAAGTTATCTTTTCCTAAATGTAGTTTCTTTCCCTCTAACACTGATTAAGTGATGGGCAGCCAGGCATGTGGTACACACCTGTAATCCCAGCACTTGGGAGGCTAAGCAAGAATGAGCATAGCTTTGAGGTCAGCCTGAGCTACACAACAAATTCCAATGCTACACAGTAATAGCTTTATTTCCAGAAAATTAAATTAAAAGATTAGGCATAGAAATTAAATATATTCCTCAATCTTAAGTATCACATTAAGTAAAATTTCTTAACACTTGCATCTTAAATACCAACATCAAATGCATACCTTCTATTTTGCAACTGTCTAAATTTCAATTTCTTCTGTAAGTTTAAATATAACGTATTAACAAAACTAATATCTTTAATTTTTCTCTAAATCACATGCTAAAAGATCTCTATAGTTATCAACCCTTTGACAATGACTTTAACTAAAAATTATTCTCCTGCCTACCCCAAAAGGCAGCATGTACAACAAAACTCAGTCACTGGTAAACAAGGATAATGTACTTCAAGGCGGTGGTGGCACATGCCTTTAATCCCAACACTTGAGAGGCAGAGTGAATTCGAGACCAGCGTGGTCTACAAGAGGTAGTTCCAGAACAGCCTCCAAAGACACAGAGAAACCCTGTCTCGAAAAACAAACAAGCAAAAATAAATAAAATAAATAATGTACTTCAAACAATAAAACATACCACTTCTCAATATTTGAACTACTAGGAATTCAATATTAAAAAGATATTAATTATTGGAGCTGGAGAGATGGCTCAGTGGTTTAGAGCACTGGCTGCTCTTGAAAAAGGAGCTGGGTTTGGTTCCTGGAACCCACATCACAGCTCATAACTGTCCTTAACTCCAGCTTCATGGGATCAAATGCCCTCTTCTGGCTCTGCAGAAACCATCCCTATCAACAAGCTCTGAGTTTGATAAGAGACCTTACAGACCCTACTTCAAAAGAATAAGGCAACGAGCAATCTAGGAAGGTTCCTGACATCAACCTCCATAGGCACATGCCTATCCATGTATGTACACCCATATACATGTATGCTCATATACGGGAACACACACTTGCATGCACACCACACACATAAAAACACATGAAAAATATTATCAACCTAAAAAACAATGTTTTTAATAATAAGTCAAAGGAAAAAAAGATAGTCTTAAGAAAGCCATTGAGATTAAAATATTATACTGGATCAACACATTCAATATTTTAAATTGTAATTTTTGCTAGTCAATGGTGGCACGTGCCTTTAATCCCAGAACTCAGGAGGAGGCACAGGCAGCCAGATCTCTGAATTCAAGGCCAGCCTGGTCTACAGAATTTGTTCCAGGACAGCTAGGGGTACACAGAGAAACACTGTTTTGAAACAACTCTCCCAAAATTAAAGGAAAACCTTTGCCTTTTTAATTAGTTTTAAAATTTTTAAATCTTGTTAACAGAATATAAGTTACTCAGTTTACACACACACACACATATATAATATACATACACACACACACACACATACATACTTTTATCTATACTCCTTAATGTCTGCATTTAAGATATTTTCATTTTAAAGGATAAATAGTTCTTGTCCTTCTAACAGTATTCTGCTTATTCTTAATGACTCTTTTGTTCTTTTAGCATCTTTCACTACAGATTAAGGTTGTATTAGCAACATATTCATAGTTTTTTACTCGAAAGTTTAAGATTTTAATATTTTGTACTTCTAAAACACGTTGAACTACCTCTATCAAAATCTTTGTCAAACCATACAAAAACTGACTGGTTTGCAAGACTGATCTTAAGAAAACTCAATGACAAGGACGGGACTTCACCAATTACATGATCACAAGGAGGCTGGAGCACTTTCATGTACATAACAAGAACAGCCACACACCTGGTCCCCACCAAGGAAAGCAGAGTTATATGTACTTCTGAGAAAAAAAATAATACCTTTGTGATAAAAGGCAATTGGAACTGCTATATGGAGCAAAGACATCATAATAATAAAACATCTTACTGCTTATTGAAGAAGTATGGTTGTGTTCCCAGTCTTTGGGAAAGGGCTTGACAGCATTGGTCTACATCTTCTAAGACCTACACAGGCAGTGAACCAAAAAGAATATCTAAATTAGCAAAACAATAAAAAGTAAGACAATTTATATCACAGTTTATAACAAAAAAGCAACTCAGTTTAAATTTTAAGACCTTAGTCATAATGCTTTGACATACATGACATAAATAATGCTTTGATATAAATGGGAATTAGTGAAAAAAAACATTAAATACAAGTATTAAGTTACTGACCCCTGTTTAACAAAATGTTTTTCTCTCAAAATTTAATTCTCTAAACAATGTTTTCCTGGGTCCACATAGTTAATGAGTTTGTTTAGATTGAGAGGGGAGCCTGCCCCACAAAAACAACATTCTAAAAGGTGCTGAGGATTGATCTCATTCTATCCAGTCACTTGCTAAACCTTGTAGCACACATCAGTAAGATGTCTGGCTAGAAATCAGGGATAGCAAAAAGAGACACCAGTTACCTTAAATGATTGATGCTCAACCTCATGACCTTGAAAATTACATCTATACATTTTTTTGTTACTTTAATAAACTTAAAACATCCTCCCCCCAAAAAAACCTCAGTTAAGTACAATGCTTAATAAAGTTTTTTAAGCTCTCATACTGCAAATCTGTTACTGACATAAAGATTTCCATAAACTGCTGTTTAGGGGGAGAAAAGAAATCAAGTTATAGAATAATAGGCATAATATGATCTCATTTGAGGACAGTACTACTAAGACTAGAAAAATAGTCTCCAAATGAAGAGGGATAATTCTGAGGTGGCAGGATTTCAAAAATTATTTGTCATTTAGACCTTACAGGCAAATAATAAGCACATGCAACTTTCATAAAGGAAATATAACTACATCACAAGAGAGAAATAACAGGAAGTATGTTATTGTTTATGTTACAATATTACACTGAGATTATTCTTAAAGTAATGCCATTTTTAATGCATAAGAGTTGAAACTGTACTAACCTGGTCCAGAGTCTTGTTACCCCACCCAATAGCTTTCATCTTCCGCTTCACTTCCCACTGCTTCTGATAGGCCAAAATGTGGTTCAAAGGCCAAGGGTAAGGAGATCCATATCTAGCATGAGTGATCTAAAGCAAAAAAACTTTGTAACAGAATCCTTCCTAAAACTAATGCATTTTTACAAACAGAATTCTAAAATGTATGTATTTCCAGAGAGCATACATAAAAGCAATCTGAAAAAAAAGAAAACATTATATAGCTTACAACATAAAAAATTAAAATTTTAAACCATTCCCTTTAAAAATATATAAACTTTTATGTACTTTACAACCAGTTCTATCAAACAATGACACATAGCTTCCCTAAAACGTATGTGCAAGCAAAATTAAAGTAAGTGAAAAACTGTATCACTAATGGTATAAACCACAATGTTTCATTTATGAGCAGGGACTTGCGATTCTGAGCAAAAGTGTTTTCTCATTAAATTTTAATTAAGATGAATGCTGCAGAACCACTCACCTCCCCTACTGTAGCTTCATCACACCACTGGAGATACAACTAGGAACAAAAGAACAGTCACTGAAACTTTAAAATACCAAAAAGAAAGGGTCAAACTTATTTCTTGCTATGGTGATTCCTAATAAGCTAACTTTGAAAATCAAATATGTTTGTTTTCTTAGCTAATTCACTGTAGAGAATTACCAAATTTATTGGCAGTACTTTACAAAAAAAAAAACAAAAAACAAAACAAAACATTTCTTATGCACAGACTATATGACTAAACATTATTTCATAGGCATTATTAAAGTAAACCTCAAAAGGCTAAAGTAAAACAGTAAGATTCCTTGAAACAGAAAACTAGAGCTGAAAATATCTGGAAACTTGTTTATAGATAATGATCAAACAACTCAGATGACCATCCCAGCCCGCTTCTTAATGGCTTTAAGGTACCTCATATGGAAAGTTTTAGATGAGAATACAGATTAGACAAGATTATAATTATTTCAAGTCTCATACTCTTATACCTCTGCTGTCAACAGCATATTGTTGACTAATTCCATGTAAGCTTTCATTTCTGCTCTTTGGACTTCATCCAACCCATCACTAAGAGAATGGCCCTAAGGGGAATTTAAAAAAATTTTATAGAGCATCGTATTAAATATACAATATCTTTCAGTTATCTTACTATCATAACAAGTAATGTAACATGTAAATGTAAAATGGATTAATTTCCAAAATGCTTTTTAAACCAAAATTGTGCATAAAAGTATACCTAATATTCAATCACTACTAAGTAATAGTAATTTATCATTATATACACATATTTTCAATAGGCAAAAATTACAAGATGAATTATTTCATAAAAGAGAAACCAAAATGGTCAATAGTAAACCTTGTATTTTTCAGTCACAAAACCTTAAAAACGAAAGAAATGCCAAATAGGTGCTACTTATAAAATGGGCAAGGATGGGGAGCAGGGGGGAGCCAATTTAGTAACAAGAAGGGAAGAAAGACATGTAGCAATGGGCAGTATAATAAAACAGTATAACTTCCAACTCAATCTGGCAATCTTATTAAAAGGTATATGCCAAAGCATCCCAATAACACTATCAGGAATTTATATTTGTTTGCTTTGAGACAGGGTCTTAATATGCAGCCCTAGATGGTCTGGAACTCACTCTGTAGATCAAGCTAGCTTCAAATTCAGAGACCAGCCTGCCTCTCACTTCTGTGTTGGTATGTGCCAACCATGCCTGTCTTAGGAATTTATCTTAATGAAATATGTATACAGGTTTATGCAAAAGAAAATTCATTTTAACACTCAAAAATAACAAAATAAATGGTCAATAGCCAAATGTCCATTTAAAAAACTATATAATGCATGCAACAAAACAGAAAAACATGTGATACTTTTTAAGATATATATATTTGTGTACAGTCATGAATATGGAACCACTTTTAAACTTATTGGTAATTTTAAAGGACAAAATAACACATAACAGTGTGATCTGGTTTTCTATCTATGTAAAAGTCTGGAAGAATACTTCCCTAAATATTAATGAAAGTGCTGCTTTACTGTTGTTTTTTCAAGACAGGCTGACCTCAAACTCAGAGATTCACCTGCCTCTGCCTCCCAAGTGCTGGGATTAAAGGTGTGTGCCACCACCACCTGGCTAATGGAAGTTTCTTAACTGCTAAAATCTAAATTATACAAATGAAATGAACTACTGATTGCCAAGTAGATAATTTAATACTTTCAACTTAAAAACATATCCTACATCTCTTTTCTCAAAGGTCAACCACGCATTTCTTTAAAAAGCAAAAGCTTCAAAAAAAAAAAAAAAAAAAAAAAAAAAAAGAAAGAAAGAAATAGAAAAAAAATCTTCATTTATTGACAGAAATTCTCATATCTTACATTAGAAAAAAAAAAATCAACCTATATCTTTGCTACTGATTTATAGTATGAAAAAGCACCCACCTTACAGTTTAGAAATATTTTCTAATAATTTATACTAGTATTTCATAAAGCTAGGTTAAAAGTCAATGAAAATGGTCAAATGCATTTACTATTTTTCTTCATTACCTTGGCTTTAACGAACTGGACTATAGGACCAAGTTCTGACACTACTTGATTTCCCACATGAATAAAAGGTACTTTTCCTGTTGAGAAGGAAAAAAGATGTGAGAAAACAGATGCAGGAAATTAAGTTTGTGCTAGTAAGTAATAATAACAAGAAACAGGATTGTTTCATTCATAAAGAAATATTATAAAATTAAAATTTTCCAAATGATAGCCAGAAGCATTGCTACAGTCTACAAATTTTAAACAATGATTGCTAAAAGATTTTAAAATAAGACAGCCAAGCATAGTAGCACATGCCTAGATATGTCAACAAATCATCATGTTCTCATTTCAGAACACTAAACAAGACTGATTATAAATCACACAGACCAAGCCAGGACACTAGTTTAGGATCACTGAAGACTTCCAAAGAAATTTAACTGGGATTTTCTTCAGCACAGCACAAAACTATACTGAAAAGCTTTTTTTGGCTTCTTGTTGATTTGTTTGTTTGTTTGAAACAAGGTCTGACTATATAGTCTTGGCTGACCTGGAACTCACTCTGTAGACCATACTGGCCTCAACCTCCCAGAGATCCACCTGTCTGTGCCTCCTGGGTGCTGGGAAAGATAGTCTTCCAAAGATTTCTTTTATGCTTTCTAGTATTAAATCTGAAACCCACTGAAGTCAGTATTCTTAGTACATAACTGTCGGGGAATATTATTTTAAGATGTGTGACTTGTTATGCTGCATTTGTTTAACTCTGTGAAGCTGTGTTACTATGCCTGTCTAAAACACCTGGTGGGCCTAATAAAAAGCTGAACAGCCAAAAGTGAGGCAGGACAGGGATAGGTGGGCTGGCAGAGAAAGACATCAAGGCCAGCTACTCAGCCAGCCAGCCAGCCACAGAGTAAGAAGCAAAGTAAGACATACAGAAAAAAACAAAGAAAAGCCCAGAGGGAAAAGGTAGACAGGTTAATATAGTTTAAGAAAATCTGGCTAGAAACAAGCCAAGCTAAAACCAAAATTCATAACTAAGAATGAGCCTCTGCATGTGATTTACTTGGGAGCTGGGTAGTTGGTCCCTCAAACAGCTAAAAGAGCAAAACGAATAAAAAACAAAAACAACACATACAATGAATTAATAAATGTCTTGGACTCAAAGAATTTACCACCTTAGAGGTTATGCTAGTTTGAGTTATGTTTCCAATACACAAGAGGATAAAACAAAACAGTAAGCTTTTGAAAATAGTAACACTAAGAGACATAGCTACAGTGCTTGACCAGTATGAAGCCTTAGGTTCACAGCTCAGTAAGGGGAGTGCGGGAGAGAAAGAAAACTGGTATCTTTAAATAAATGCTACCATTAGAGGTTACTATTCCATTTTAATAAACATCAATGCTTAATATGACTATTAGAGATTAAGGAAAAAATGGTCTGTAAATAGCAATCTAGTCCACTCCAAATGTGAAAGGAAGAAACCTGCTGTTGCATTTAGTTCAACCAGAGTTCACACCACCAGCAGGCGTCTTCCTGCTACTTTGCAGTGTATTCACTTCTCTCTGACTTAGTCAGCCTGAGGGAAATGGATGAGGTGCCTGGCACCAAAGAAGCTTCCTCTGCATCTATGAGATGGCACTACAAAGAAAAGGGAGCCTTTTGGAACATGACACTTAATAGATGTATTTTTGTTTCCGTATTACCAATATATTCCTTCTATTGCTTCATAAATCTCAAAAGACAAGCTAAACTGGACAAACAGTAGGCTATATTGTTATTTGGTTTTGACTTGAAAAAAAAACCTTTATTAAATACAGGTCATCTGAATTTTTGGGGGAAAAAACTGTTGCTTGCCTAGACTAATGGGTATTGTGAGGTATGATATTTAAGGTTTTTATTTTGATGTGTGTGTGCATGTGCGCACACGTGCATACACACAAGTGGCATTAAACAGAAGCCAGAGGAATAGAAACTGGAGTTACAGGTAGCTCTGAGCCACCTGACATGCGTGTTGAGAACTGAGCTCAGGTCCTCTTAACCACTGAGCCATCTCCCCAGCCCACTCAAGAGTAACATTTTCAGAAGCAGACTATTTCTTTTTTCAGTTAGCTTCATATTCTTAGAGAGGGTACTTTGTTTTCCTGCAAATATATTAAACGGGGGCTGAGGGGAAGCCTATGTACTTGCTGCACAAGCATGAGAACTTGAGTTCAGATTCCAAGGACCCTCACAAAGGCTAAGAGCTCTGTAAGCTTAGTGCTAAATGATGGAGACAGAATGACCTCAGAGGCTGGCTGGTCAGCTAGTCTAGCCAAACAGTGAACTACTGGTTCAGAGAGATCTTATTTCAAAAGAAAATGAACCAACAAAAAGGTAGAAAGCTACAAAGGAAGATATATCAACTTCTGGTCTCTGCATTTAACAAACCCACACCTACCTCCACATACATAAACTAGCATTGTAGGTAATAAAGCACAGAAATAATGTGGCTAGTCAACTGAATATGCAAATATATCCAATAAAGATAGAGTAAGAGATCAAAGCAACAGATAAGAAGTGAATGATCCTTTTCTTCTCACAAGGCTAACTAGAGTCAATGTGCAGTCTTTATTGCACATACCAGGGAAAAACACAAGAGACAATTCTATGTGGCCAAAGAAGAACTGTGTGTTCTGCTTCTCATTTTGGACAGAAGTCACCCCAGATCATTTTATTCTTCTTTTTGTGTGCATGAGCGTGTGTGTGTGTGTGTGTGTGTGTGTGTGTGTGTGTGTGTGCGTGCGCACACAGTGGCCAGAAGTTGATATGACATCAATGTCCTTATATCATTTCTACCAGTCTGCCCCCACCTTATTTTGAGTCTCTCACTGGACTTAGAGCTTGAAGATTAGCTAGACCGGCGTGTCTCTGTTTCCTAGCTCTGGGATTGCAGGCAGGAGCTGGCATGCCCAACATTTTGTGTGGGCACTGGAGATCTGAACAATGTGCCTCATGTGTACAGATTAAATACAGAACCATCTCCTTGGCCCTAACTAGTTCAGTTTTTTTCCTAAAGAAAGCATTAACATGTTGCCAAGTAAGTCTGTACATTCAGAGACTATTAACTAGAAACTTAGATGTCATCTAGTCTGATTAGCTCATGTAACAGATGAAGTTACAAGAAGAGAAGTAAACTCCCCAGGAAAATAGTTAATAACTGGACACAGCTACTACAGGCTTAATGTGTGCTGTCTTATGTTCTCTATTTTAAAAGCCCATTACAAGTCTGGTGTTAGTAGTACATTCCTTTAATCTCAACACTCAGGAGGTACAGCAGGAGGATCTCTGTGAGTTCATGGGCAGCCTGGTCTACATAGAGAGTGCCCAAATAGCCAAAGAAATATAGTGAGTGTGATGGTTTGAATGAAAATGGTCCCCACAAGCTCATAAGGAGTGACACTAATAGTAGGTGTGGCCTTGTTGGAAGAATTGTCACTGGAGGGTGGGCTTTGAGGTTCCAGCTGGTCAAGCCATGCCTAGTCACTCACTGTCTCTTCCTGCTCCCTATGGATCCAGATGTAGAACTCTGTTTCCTCTCCAGCACTATGTCAGCCTGCATGCTGCCATGCTTCCTGCCATGATAATAATGAACTAAACCTCTGAAATGTCAAGTCAGTCCCAATTAAATATTTTCCTTTATAAGAATTGCCATGGTCATGGTGTTTTGTCACAGCAACAGAAACCCTAAGACAGTGAGACCTTGTCTCTTTAAAAAAAAAAAAAAAAAAAAAAAAAGCAAAAAACAAACAAACAAAAAAAAAACTACATTATTAAGTAGGCAGTTTTTTTGCACTTATCACTCCCAATCATGATAAAGGAAATACTAATAATACTAATTTGAAATACTAAGATGAAGTATAAATATCTTAGTAAAAAGGCCTGAATATATGGCAGTAAATGTTAGCATACTACATGCTTGCTCTAATATTTATCTGTTTGCTTTTCAGAGTGTGGAAAATTAAGTTAATCCCTAAATTATATAAGCACAGTAACCTAAATACATAAACTATGTCACTTCTTGCCACTTATTTTAACTTCAGTGTTAAATTACTAATTATTTTATATGTAGGTATGGTAGGCCCCCATAAGTTCATAGGGAATTGTGTTACTACAAAGTGTGGCTTTATTGGTATTGGGATGGCCTTCAATGGAGGGAGTGCATTTTCTTAATTAGTGATTGAAGTAGAAGGACTAAGCCCATTATGGATGATGCCACCCCTATGCTGGTGATCCTACAAAAAAGCAGGCTGAGCAAGCCATGAGGAGTATTCCTCCATGCTCTGCATCATCTCTTGCCTCGAGATGCCCACCCAGGTTGAATTACTGCTTTGGTTTCCCTCAATGAACTGAGATTCAGAAGTATGTAAGCCAAATAAATTCTTTTCTTCCCCAACTTGCTTCTGGTTATAGTGTTTCACCACAGCAATAGAAACCTCTAAAAATCCAAAATCTATTGGATTTCTGTCTAGAAATTTTTTCTTAGAAATGTTTTCTAAAAGTTTATTCAGAAATCTAATAGATGTACATTTATATGGAATTTCAGTGTTATGGGATGGGTCTAACAATTATTACCACCCTTAAAGAAAATATTAAACACAAATAATTCCTAAATAATCACCATATCCACATGAAGAGATTGACAAATTTTTTATGTATAAGAAAGGAATAAAGCATACCTACACAATCACTTATTCATAAAAGAGTGATTCTGTGTTGCTGTTGCTCTAGCAAAACCAAAATGAAAATAATCGGTGATATTATATTTAACATTTAATTAGTTTTATGGCAATATATATATGTATTTTGTTTTTCCGATTTTTCAAGACAGGGTTTCTCTGTGTAGCTTTGTAAACCAGGCTAGACTTAAACTCACAGAGATCTGCCTGCCTATGGCTTCCAAGTGCTGGGACTAGAGGTGTGTGCCACCACTGCCTGGCCAGCATCATATTTTTATACCAATTATTTGAATCCTATTTATTTGGGAGCAGTTAAATGTACTGGCATTAAATCTACTAGCATATAACATAGATCACTATTATCATTTAAAAAATAAAAGTGAAGCTTTAATAAAAAGTACTTTAAAACATTAGATAAAAGAAGGGTGACAATTCTTCAAAGGGGCAAAAACAAAACAAAACAAAACCCTAAGGATTTTAACATCGGGGGCTAGAAATATGGCCAGTGGTAAAGCAATTACCTAGCATCATGTCCAAGGCTTTAGGTTCAATCCTCAGTATCAAATAACAAATAAACACAGTATTAACAGAAAACACACACACTTACCAGATGGAGACATATATTCTGCATTTGCCCTACACACCACTTTGACAGGCAGATTACACATTTGCAAAAAGGCCTGTAAATAAAGAGAAATATAATAAGCCTAGAAAAAAAATACATGCATATTTGAAAAGAACTCTTCATTCCTTTTCTAAACTACATACTCCATAGAGTAATATTCCATTGGAAAATGATGAATTTAAAGTTTCCAAACAAAAATATCATTTTACTTAAAAAAAAAAGACTAAGTCATTAGTAAATATATAAGACTTGTAAGACAATTGCATACACTTAAAAGTGTTATTCATATTTTACATTACTTTATGTAAGTAAGCAATATAACATATTGCTTTAGTTTTAATGGATGACTAACGTCAAACGTCAAAATTTTACTAAGATACTGATGGTTTAATTTTTTGACTCATGGCAAGATCACCATCTTTCTTACTGTATTAGAAAATTCAAAATGTTATTTCGGCTACTTCAATGTTCTTTCAGTAATCCTCAAAATCCTGACATGGTTTCTAGGTTAACAAGGAGAGAAGGAGATAGCCCCAATGAGTAAAGGTGCCTGACAACCCAAGAATGACACCCTCAAAACCAATGTAGCGATGTGGGATGTCCTTCTGTATGCTGCAAATATGTGTTATTTTTATTGGTTGATGAGTAAAGTTTTGACCAATGGCCAGGCAGAATATAGCTAGGTAGGAAATCAAAGCAGAGTTATGGACAGAAAAAAGGTGGAGTCGGGAGATGACATGTAGCCACCAGGGAAGCAAGATGTGAGGTAACAAGCTATAAGCTTTGTGGTAAAACATAAAATAATAAAAATGGACTAATTTAATTGAGAAGCTAGTCAGCCAAACAATTATAATTGATATTAAGCCTCAGAATAACTATTTTAAAAGCAACTATGGAACTGGTTAAGATGAGAAACCTCCATTTACAATGTGGTGAAAAGAACCCAACTTGCAAGTTATTCTCTGACTTCTTTATAAACATGGTGACATGCATGTTCATGCTCTCTCACACATAACAACTAATAAACAAACATAAAATTAAATAAAAATTTTAAAGAGACAAGTTATTTACTTGATTTATAGAAAGAAAAATTTTGAAGGAATTAAATGTCTACCAATAATGGAGAAGGTAAATCACAGTACATCCTGTAGATGGAATTTTCTGTTCCTCTTGGCCCTGTAGCTGGTGAGTCCCAAATAAACACACCAATGGGCATTGGCTCAGGCTTCTTATTGGCTAGCTCTTTTTTTATTAGCCCATTTCTATTAATCTGTGCATCTCCACATGGCCTTGACTTATTATTGAATCTACTCTTAAAAAGCAACTACTAGTTTTAAATATTTTACTTTGGATTGGATTTTTATATACTGTAGGCAAATGTTGTATATTGGTACAAATTTGATATTAATTTCCCTAAAACATATTGTACATACATTTCTAATATCGTTCAAGGTATTGTACTTATACAGCTCATTTAACAATATAATACAAATGTTTATCCTTGAATGTTATTATTATCAACTATATAGAACAATATGGAAATGTAGTTTAGTAATTAGTCAACTATTACAATTGAACTTGTAGTCACATTAGATAATGTTTACAAGGTCAAACAGATATATTTTAGAAAATAGGTCATCTTCAAACATTTAAGAGATCTACAAAATATGGCATTTAACATGTTTTATGATAATGAGACATGTCTGCTCTTGTCAGCACCAATCTACGTTGCAGAAGATGATGGGCATCAAAGAAACTACACATGGAGTTTACTTTCTTTGTGGCAAAGGTAAGCCACTGGGCAAAGTGTCCTTGCCTCAACTGCTGACAGTATACTGTCCAAATTGGACAGCAAAGAGTGACTGCAAACATTGCCAAGACAAGGCAGTCCAGTCCTTCAGATTATCCTGTTTCACAGAATGTCTGTCAGATACACTAGGCCTATAGGCCAAAGATGGATGCCCCAACGATGAAGAGCAACTTTGGGTGATTGTCCAGGCAGCCAGCTGTTTCTGTCATTTCTCACATTTTTTGGAAGTTGCTTGCTCACATTTACTGTTTACTCAGTTAATATTATTTCCTTCTCACGTCTCTGAAGGAGTTGAAGACTAGATAGTATAGTTATGTTTTCCTTATTTACCAGGCTCAGTAAAGTAACTCACTAAATATGACTTAACAGGTTTGAAAGATATTAAAGAAAATTTGATAATGCAAATCAGAATAGAAGTAAATTAAGTACAAGACTTTGAACTCATCAAGAAACTATAGATATGAAGTATTTTCTATGAATTTGTCAAATGCTAATGGATAAGACACTGTTAATGTACTTATTGCCCGTATATATATTATATTTACGTACTGTACTTATTGTATATATTTTTCTTATATTAGCTATAATCATCTTTTTTTTTCATTTAAACAAAAAAGGGGATATGTGATGTTATCTTGCTAGTACAAATAAAGCCCAGAGAATGGAGCTTGCCATTAGCTAACCACAGAGGTCTGGAGGTCTATACAGACAGACAGGAAGTGAGATCACTGGGCAGAAACAGGATATAAGCAGAGAAAAACAGGAACTCACTCTCTTGTGTGCTGGGAGGTAAGGTGTGGCTGTGGCTTACTCCTTCTCTCTAATCTCACAGCAATTTCCTCTATATCTGACTCTGGGTTTTTATTAATCAGACCAATTAAGAACTCCTATTTACATTTGTAGACAGAAGTTTCTGCCCTGACAGGTCCCACAGCCATTTAGTCCCAAATAAATATGCAAGGGGTTATATTAATTACAAACTGTTTGGCTAATAGCTCAGGCTTCTTATTATGAAAATTGTATCCCCACATGGTCCTGGTTTACAGTGATACCCCTGCCTCTTGCTTTCTCCACAGCTACATGATGTCTCTTTGGCAACTCACTTTTTGGCGTTCCTCATCCCAGAATTCTCCTAGTCTGGTAGCCCTGCCTATACTTCCTGCCTGGCTACATCCTGACTGTCCATTGACCAAAACAGCTTAATTCACCAACCAATAAGAGAAACATATATTCACAGCATTCAATAGGACATCTCCTATCAATATCCAAAACCAGAATTTTAAAAACTTTTACTTTTGAAGAATTTTTTTATGTTAAAGAAAAAATATAAGTTGCGTGTGATAACACACACCTTTAGTCTCAGTATTTGGTAGGCAGGCGGACCTCTGAATTTGAGGTTAGCCTGATCTACATGGTGAGTTCCAAAACAGCCAGGGCTATATAGAGGCCCTGTCTCAAAGGAAATAAGAAAGAAAGAAAAGCAAAAGACAAGATTGGGTGCATTCAGGGTGGTATGGCTATATGAAAATTAAAATTCCAGTCCTCTAATAAAGTACAAATGCTTCCCTTAAAAATAAATAAATAAATCCCCTTTATTCACAGCCTGACTACTACACTGTTGTAACTTATGTACAACTGACCCCCCCCCCCCAAACAAAAGAAATGTTTTAGAAAGCCAATGAATGTCTTTATTTCTTCTTTGTATTTCTGCTGGCCTCCTTACCATCTCCTTCAATTTTCCTACAACTAACTTGTAATACTGTAGGATTTGATGTTGCTTACTTTGCAATGTTGTCTGAGGGAAGCAAACAGAGTGGGCAAGAGTTTACTGTGGCAGGTGTGGTTCTCTGTCCTCCCCTCACCCAGCCATATTCTCCCCTTTCCCTGCAGGGAGAAGTCTCAGCAGCAGGTATTAAGTGCAGGGTCCTGGTTTCTATCTCAGCACTACAAACGACTTGCAGTCAGTAGAAACAGACATGATCAGAAGAAACAGAGATAATAATAACCAGGTAGAGAGAAGCATCAGGAAACAGGACCCTTTTCATAAAGAAAGCAGAGATCAACAGTGATTGACTACAAACTGATTTCATAAAAGTAAAGACTAGGGCTGAGGAGACAGTTCAGTCAGCAAAAGTTCAGCTCAAACTTGAGGACCTGAGTTTAAATTCCTAGGACCCACAACACAGGGTGATCCCACCTAGGGAAAAGCAGAGACCTGGAGATTCCTGGTCAAGTTTCAGGTTCAGTGAGAAACCTGTCTCAAAAAGTAAGGTGGAGCTAGCCACTGTGCCCATGATTTTAATTCCAGAACTCAAGATTTTAATTCCAGGACTCAAGATGCAGAAGCATCTCTGAGTTTACAGCCAACCTGGCTTGCCAGGATTAGTACACAGTGAGCCCCTTTACCCAAAAAAAAAAAAAAGAGTGGAAAATGACACCTGACATCAACCTCTGATCTCCATATACATGCACACATGAACACATAAACACATACACACACAAAACAAAAAAAGACAAGAAAATGAGAATGTACTCACATTAACTGTGAAATATGAAGAGAAATCATTTGTTGAGAAGGAAAGTCTAGGAGAAACTAAGGCCTTCAACGAAGCAAGAGTTTGAAAGAATTTAGTTCTCTTCAAAGGCCTGAATAATATTTAACTGTTAATTAGCAACCACTAACACCATACAAATGGGTACATATGGTATGAAATTGTACTACATGTATAGTATAATTATACCAATCAATATTCCATAGAACTTTAGTTCACTTTTTTGAAAAGTAGAACTATATTGTTGAATAATAAAACCCATACTTAAACCCCAAATATTTTCCTTGTTTATTAATAAAAAACTGAATTTTGACCAATTTAACAGCACTCATCTTACAAACCACTGTGGGCATTATTCTTAATAGACAAAGATTAATTTTGTAACATTAATACATTTACTCTTCATCACTGGTTCAGAAGTAATTTCTGAATTCATCTAGAGGTCACAAAGAAGCTTGCTATCATAGAGAACTTCCATCTAAATATTAAGAATGTAAAAAAAAAAAAAAAGTATTACCATGATTATCTTCAATATGTAAAAACTCCGAAGCAAAAGGAAGCTCTGACTTAACTAGTACTTTTGTACTCTCTTTATAAGAAGGAAGGGAACTGAAGTTCCAAAACAGTACTTTCAACTTTCACACTTTTTAAATGTTTAAGTGTGTATGGGGGGGGGGCAGACATGTATGGGTACCCATGAAGGTCAAAGGCTTTAGAGCTTGAGTCACAGGTAGCCATAAGCCATCCAACACTAGAAACTTAACTAAAAAATATGAGCTCTTAACCTCTGAGATATTTCCAACCCCCTCATATATATATTCTTATTTTACATACCGATCCCAGTTCCCTCTCCCTCCCTCCCATGCCCCCTGACACCCCCCATCCCATATCTCCCCTACTCCGCAGGGAGGGTGATGCCTTCCAGGAGGGATCACCAAAATCTGTCATTTGGAGTAGGGTCTAGGCCCTCCCTCCTGCCTCTAGGCTAAGGGAATTCCCTCCATGGGGAATGTGCTCCCAAAGTCCTTTTGTGCATCCTGGTTCCACTGTGAGAGGACCCTTAGACTGCCCAGGCCTTTTAACTGAGACCCACGTTCAGAGGGTCTGAGTCGGTACTCCAAACAACAGCCTATGATACACTAACCAGAAACACATTTTGATTTTTATTTGAAGGAGAAATATTTATTTTTATTCTTAGGTGAGAAAAATGTAGTTTTGGTTATAACAATGAATTTAGGTTAACAACTTCTTATTGTTCAGCTGGATACTTAATTCCAAAGCAATTCAAAGAAGTAACAACATGAAACCATTTCCTTAGCATATTCTATCCCAATGTTTTATAACAAGGCTGTCCAATATGGTAATCACTAGCAACAAGTTGCTATTTAGGTTAAATTTAACTTTAATAATATTGACAAAATTTTCAAATCAATTTCTCAGGCTGTCTAGTCATTTTTTCATATTCAAGAGGCACTTGTGCCTAAGGTCTACTGCATTTATTATTCAGCACAGATACCAAACTTCTGTGGGATAGGGTGATGTCTGGTGGATAGCATGGGATTATAACAGGGGTAGCCAGTACATAAAATAACAAGGCATGAAAGGCTGACATAATCTCAAAGTGACTCGGTTAAACATTACAAATAGAAATTACAAGAACTGGAGAGATGCCTCAGCAGCATCTCAAACAACATGCATATCACAATTCAAGTCTTTATTACCAAACATGCTAGGGATATTCCTGAAAGAAATATGGGAGAAAATTGGTTAAGTTAAATTTAAAACTGCTGGGTGGTGGTGGCACATGATTTTAATCCCAGCACTCGGGAGGCAGAGAGGCAGGCGGGTCTCTGTGAGTTCAAGGCTGGCATGGTCTACAGAGTAAATTCCAAGACAATCAGAGCTATACAGAGAAACCCTGTCTCAAAAAACAATAAACCAATCAATCAATAAATAAATAAAACCAAAATGGCACCCATTTCCAGAAAAGTTAAGTCTAATATGATTTTTAACAGAAGGTAGATATATAGATATACAGATAAAGATATAGAATCTACAATGTTAATACCTTCAAACATCAAACAGCCTTTGATTCAACTGCAGAATTTAAGTACAGAAAATGGTGAGAAATGCACATACTTGGAAACAGTCAGCCAAAGTGAGCCTCCTTAGCCATGACTTTTGCATAAAGGTAGTGCTGCCCTGTCTGCTGTCCCTAGCACCACTTAGAGTAATTGTACTTTCTGAAGGAGTCCTCTAGCCATCCTTTTCCTGAATAGATAAGCCTCTCCCACTCCTTAACAACCTCAGATTGGCTAAAGGGAAGACTAACGTGGGCATATACTAGAAAAATGGAAATCCCTGCAAGTCAGTATAAAATATCAAGAGGGTGACAGAGTAGAAGACTCCCAGTGAAAGGGAATATCTGGGTGAATCTCAGGGACTACATAACCTTGAAAGTTCCATACATCCCTAACTTAGCTATATAGGTTGATCAAGGTGCTATTTGTCAAACACTTTTGATACATTTGGCACAGAGTAGTTCAACAAATATAAGGTATTATAATGGTAGTGATATTAACTTGTTTATCCATCTGAGAAGGGAGACTATTTAATTTTGATGACTTCAAAAGAAAGTTGACCTTGCATAGTTTATTACTTTGGGTACCTACTTATGAGAAAAAAAGAAAATATTATATACTATATTCTTATTAATAGTATATAAAACAAACTGCAAATTTGTGAGTTAAAATAAAAATCTCTAGATGCTAACGGGATAGAAAAAACAAGTTATTTTTTGAAAGAATATAAAATACTGAATGATCTGAGTGATTTTTTTTTTCTTTTTTCTTTATTTTGACTGGATATGAGATTTATTACTGAACATGATTTGGTAGGGTACAGGAGAGTACTATGGACTCCCTCAGGAATGCAAGATTATCAGGAAGGAGCTGCTTCTCAGCAACCATGTCTTCAATCTCACTGCATGGTGAGACCTACTTCTCTGTTCAAGCAGCCAGGGAACGTACACTTGGCTCTAGGCAGAGCCTCAATCACATGTCCTTACTCTGAAGCCTGGTGTAAATGGACATGGTGACCTGGCCAATGTGAATCCTGGTTACTGTGCCCTGGGGCTTCGCTGTCTGGAGTGGAGTGTGTCAGCCCCAGGACAAGACAACATCTTGTTGACCTGCATGACATGAAAAGGGTGAGGCCTCACTCGAATATGAACGCTATCCTTGCCACAATTCTTTACCAAGTATTTGTAGGCACAAATATGCGCAGCTTCCAGGGCTTTGGAAGAGAGTGGCTAATATTTATCTGATACCATGTAGTCTCAAAGTGGGAATTCATCAACATTTGTCATTTTCTGTCCCAAGTCAAAGATGTGGATCTTGGCACCAGGTACACCTCATCAAAAGTAAGACTTTTGGGTAAGCTTGTTCTTACAATATTGGTTACGAGCCGAAGGAAAAAAGGAAATTATTGATTTTCAACACACAAAACTATATAATCTTTTCTAACAAAGCAAAAACAAGAAGTAAATAAACATATAGCACTGACATAAACTTTTCCTTTATAATTTATCAAAATCATGCAATGAAAAACCTCCCCCTTCGGGATAAGTTCTATCAGTACCTACAGACTATGACTGTCTTTATTACCTATCCTTGGCATACAATAAGTTACTGAAAAGCACTGGCAAGCTTAAGGACTGTCATCTTTTAATGAATCCAAAGCTCAGTGTTTTAAAGTAGACCCACACCTACTAATTATTATTTTTAAAAATCTATACTTATACCTATCAATAAGCAGGCATTGGTTTAGAAAACAGAAGTTCAATTTACCTATTTAGTAATCAGAAATCATAACTCAATAAGCAAAAGATACTTTATATAGGGCAAATCTGTTGCCGAAGCATGAAAATGACATTTAAAAGAACATATGAAGACAGTTTGCATCAGAGACTAGAACCATCCTTAGTACATACTCCCATGAAAACTATTCCCAGAATATTTAACTCCATTTTAGATACATCAACATCTGACAGCTTGGAAAATATTAGATTCTTTATAAAAGCAACCAAAATCAGATTAGAAAAAGAAATAGGCTCTGCCTATTAAAGTTACATATAAATGAAAATAAATTTTAAGGGAAAATTAAGAAAAAGAAGTTATAAAGCAGTCAAACAGAAAAAAGAATAATTCTTATATACCAAGAACCTCAACACCAGCAGCACAGTTGGCACTCATTGGAGACTGGAGTGAAGGGAAACAAAGTGTTTTCTACATTCTATGAAGAGATGTAAAGTTTTGTTATAGTTTCAACTGAGAAAAATAACAGTAACAAAAAAAATTTAATTTTGATTAGCTAAACACATAGTAGGGACATACAATATACTTACTTCATTTCAGATAAGTAATTATAACACAACCATGGGTATTTATCAGTGAGCTGCACTAGCCAGCTTCTTTCTTCTTTATTTTGAAGGTATATTAATATTTATCTTATGAGTTAAACACATAATACACTCAAAATGTACTTATCAGCAATAAATCAGCCAAGTGCCAGTTAAATAATCCAAATTTTAAAATCATTTTCTTTAATCCAATTTAAGACTGAGGAAAGCTTAAGATGGTTTCTTCCATCACACAGAGCATGCTGACACAGCTGCTCAATATCTAGCTAGGTGATGACCCATTTCAATCCAACCAGAGGAGTTTCCATAGACTTCACCACCCAGGCTTCACCTTAGGACAAAACTTATATTCATGTTACAACTACAACTGAAACACTTTATGTAGAAATTCTATAAGACTTATTCTCAATCATGCAATGCCACTTTCAGGGCACAAAATGAAAATGATTCTGATTTTAATTCCTATTCTGTTTCACCAGAACACAAAGAAAAATCAGTGGTGACAACTGAAAAATTATTTTCCACTTTACCAAAGAGAGACGTTTTAAAATTAAAAACCATGAACAAATCTATCAACAAAATAATTCATTTTATATCAAACAGCTTCAGACCCCATAATTGAAATAATGTATCTAAGGTTACAAATGAGAAGTGTTAGGTATCATTCTTAAATA